CTTCTTCGCAGGAAGGCAGAGGGCTCGACACAAAAGCAGCACGGTCTTATTTCTCAAACTGCATGTCCCTTCATCGCATGCAGTGTCAGCAGAGACGACTCATGACCCCGGCGTGTCCCGGTAGCCGTGCCAACGTACGGCAAGCCATAACGACACTGAGAAAAACCAACAAACACAAACGTCATTCTGTTACCGTTTATTGTGTGCAGCTGCACGATTTTATTCTTCTTTTTGAGCTAATGTTCGTTTTGAAAGAACAAACTGAAAACCAACATGGTGCTCAATATATATAAAAGAGAAACACATCAAGCATAAAAGCGATGATGGTTTATATCTCATAGCCAAACATTAATTTTGGCTTTGACATACGAAATGGGATTTTGCAAAGTTATTTTCCTTTTCTTCTACATTGCAAAAACTCTTGGTTAAATTAAGGCAAAATGCCAAAAATAGAGCAGATGCTATTCATTATTTCCTCATTATAGTTGGTATATCAACGTTCATATCTGAGTTGACATCCAGCTTTCCTCCACTAACTTGAAAACACACACGGCTGCCCAGTAACTTGTTTGGTCAAATTCCCAATGTCTCAAAGCCTCGGCAGATTTACATTGAAAAATATTTACCATTTTCCACTGAGATTCGTTTTGGTTAACTGAACTCTCTGATCAGAACTTCGCCAAACTTTGAGTGCTGCAGGGCATTTCAGGGCATTTCAAACTTTCTAAACGCAACGCAGCAAAGCTGCAGAATAGAAAAGACTTAATGAAGGTGTTCTGATGAAGTAGCATCTGCTTTCAAACATTCAACTTACCATTACAGGAAAGTTGTAACCTGCTGTAATTGGTGGCTACGCTAACTAGCATGCTAGCACATTCCAGCAAATGGAACGAGCGGTTGGTGGTCGTTTGTCCCGGTTTGTGCCCTTACATTTTTTCTTTTTAGTTTGTTCTGCTTTGGTTTCTGAGATATTAAAGATGATTTTTTTTTTTCTCTAGTAGGTCCAACAGGCTCCAAATCAAACCAGAGGGCCCCACTTTTTTTAGTGCTCGGTTTGTGCCGTTAAACCTGTCGTTTGTGCAGCTGAACCAGATATATTTCATTGTTGGCAAATTGAAAGGTGCCACATTGCAAACCGTTCTTTGTGTTTAACTCATACTTTCTTGCTGAGGCAGTTGAAAAAAAAAAAATGAACAAAGCTCTCAGCTGGTGCTGATTACGACATGTCTGACTCTCTTTAAGGAGATATGTAAATCTTTCAGAACAAAAGACAACAATTTGTTCTCTTTGAAACCTTCTGATCTCCTTAGATATAAGGACCGTGGCGAGTAATCTGTGACGTCATCGGTTCTGGGAGCTCGGGGTCCGTGACGCAGAACGTTCTGGACCACGATTCACCTGCGCACACCTTCGTGAGACCATCAAACGAGGGATGGAGGGACGTGGGGGGAAGCGGAGGAGATTTTGTGGGTTTTATTTAGAAACCCGAGTCCAGGCCGGTAATTGGCCGCAATGTCTGTAATCGTAAACTGTCTGGATTTCTACTCTGCCTGCACAAATTTCCACAAGAGACGGAGGCTGCGGTAACTGCTCAACATCTGGATGGAGTAAAGCAAAGCACACTCTTTATCCATCCGAGCAGGTCCCAGCGTCCATCCGGCTGCTGTCCCTCAGCTTTAAGTGTGTGTGTGTGTGTGCATGTGTCAGTGTGTGTGTACACTAGGTTTTTATATCCTTATGGGAACCTATTTCTGTCTACAATGTGGGGTTATGGAGACCGTTGTTCCTTGTGGGGACATTTTCTTGGTCCCCATCAGAAAATTTGTTGTTTTGGGGTTAGTGGTTAAGTCTGTGATGGTTAGGTTCAGGGTAAAGGTTAAGGTAAGGCTTATGTATATGATGGATAGGGTTAGAATTATGGTAAGGGTTAGGCTGTAGAAATGAGTGGAAGTCAATGTGTAGTCCCCACAAGTGATGAAAACACGACTCTGTGTGTTTGTGTGTGTGCGCCTTCTGGCAGCTGTTTCACTGATGACAAGCTCGATAAGTCGCTCATTCTGACATCATGCTCCCATCCACACACGCCAGCGAAATGAATACTCGACAGGGTGTTTTTTTTTTGTTTTTTTTCTTCTTCGTTCCTCCTCCTGTGTAACGGGGAGGTTGTGTGGATCTGGACATGCTGCTGCTCCGTGTTGCTAAACTGTAAATTTGCAGCGGTTTGTTTCTCATTTACCAAACTCAACACTGAAAACAGACCCTGGGTTCTGTTCCGACCGCAGCTTATGTAGCTGAGAAACACCAACTGAACGGCAGCCGAGGAAGGATTCTTCTTCTCTACCTTGAAGTCAAGTTGTGTGTTTGATTCTAGCTACATCCCACACACCTTGACGAGCCGTTGGGCGGGGTATTTACCAACACCTAGTTGCCTGTTGATCTGCCGAGTGTAGCATTTATGACTGGTAAGAACAGAACATCACCAGGTCTTGAAAACAAAGCTTATATTTTCAGTGAGTAACTTTTTTCATTTAAATGGGCAGCATTATGTATTTTCCAGCCACATGGTGCCTTTTTATTGCACTATTAAGTGTGTCATGTTACCTTTAGTTGTTATTAAAAAAGGCTGCATACATCAAACATGACTTAAAAAAAATTTGACTTCACCTTGAAATTAGGCCTCTGTCTTTTTAAGAAGCTCCTGCTCTTTCTGAAACTCCGCCTTCAGGAAGCCATCATAAATGGTTCTCCATTAACCCTTTAAAGAGGTGTTCGCTAGTTGCTGCTGCCGCTAGTCTGGAGGAGCTGACAGCAAGTTTTTAGGCAGCCTTGATAGCTGCCACAGGAAATTAAAGGATTTCCCAAACATGCGAAGAATCAAAGCAACACTCCAGGTATGTTGTTGATGATGCAATAACAATATAACAAAAAATGTGATTTTACATTGTACCAGCTCTTTAAAAAACGCGTTGAGCCGCTGGATCTATACATTTTGTAACTACATTAAAACCGCTGAGTGTGTTTTTGAAGCTAAGTTCCTTGCTGAAAGGTCCAGACCTGACTCGTGATCCGGTCCGGTCCGGTCCGGTGGTTCCCCTCAGGCTGTGGAAAATGGCAGCAGCGTGTCAGAGTGGTGAGTTGCTGAACAGAAACCCCTCAGAGCGGCTGGACCTCAGAGGGCCTTTATGGACTTTAGAGGCAGTTCGTCAAATACTTTGTCATCTCCATACATGTGTGCTACAGCAGCCTGTCACCATGGAGATGAATATCTATCATATCTAACAAACATGCATGTGTTTGTAGCTCAGCCAGCCGCTGACCGAGTGTGCGTTCGGCACATTCACACTCTGGGTGTTTACGGTCCAACAGGTTTTCCCTAAAGCTGCAGAACATCCTGCTGTGAACATGAGCCAACCACAGCTCCCCTGAACCCAAACAGCAAAAACAAGGAGAACCTTATTCACTGAGGAGAAGGAAGGAAATGCAACAAGCCTGAGAAAAACTGGATAGAAAAAACCCGAAAAACATCTTGTGTATTCATTTTTTGTCTATATATTTTTAATTTTTTTCCAATTTATTCTGTAAATGATATAATGCTTAATTCATTCAAGAATTATCAATGACTCAGGTCCATTTTTATCTTTGCTCTCCAGGTGCACTTACACCTTGTCTGAATTGGACCACTCTTCCTGGGTGCAGTAACAGGGTTTTGTATGGAAGACAAATCCTGCCACAATAAAGTATAAATACAGACGGAAACAAATGACTTATTAAAATGATTACAGGGCCAAAACTTAGCTCGACTGAAAAAACTGTAACATTACACACAATAACAGAGGGAAGAGACGTTTTTAATCACCGATTAAGTATAAACGTGCATTTCTGTTTTGATTTCAGGTGATCCTCAATCACTTTTGTCCCCAATAGATGTACAGTATCTCCTTCTCATACCTGTCAGAGCAGACCTCGGGAGTGTGCCCAAGGAAAACCACACAGCAGCCGTCCAGAGCACAGATAAATGATTCTGTTGCTTTATAAATGTAGACATTTGCTGCGACTGTCAGAAATTTGAGCCAAGCAAGCAGACGCAATCTTTGGCTTATTAGCCTTGAATGATGCACATCTCTTTCTGAGCTGTGACAGGGTGATTTAGGGCCGTTTTGGTGTAAAATGATTTAGATGGATTACAGTCTGGAGTCCCTGGGTTCTGTTTAAACATTGGACTTTTCTCTGAGGACAGAGGAATGCGGCGCGCATTGTGTGATCAAAACCCCAACGCCTAACAGCCACATTTCTAGCACAGCGAAGACGTCTGCCGACAACTTAAACGTATCCTCACTTCCCGTGAAGGTCTTTATCGTTTAGGCAGTTTTTTTTTTCCAACCGCAAATGTAACTTTGTTCTGTTGGGATTTTACAGAAAGTCGTGTGCAGTCGGGGAAGTGGACAGAAAACATGTATGAATCAGTTTAGTTTTGGAGTGAAGAGATGCAAAGTTTCCCTAAATTTGTGACGTTCTCCTTTCTCTGCATGAATATGGGAACAAAAAGTGACGGAACACAGTAACGTTTAAGACTTCATTGATCCTCGTTTGTTAACAAGCTGCTTCAACTAAAACGTTAAGTATTAGCAGATAGAAAGTACAAAATTAAAAAGTGATAGAATTTACATAGGACAAAAATGCAATAAATTAATTAAATGGAAATGTGTTGATTTAAAAATATTTTGATCCCAAAGAGAAATGAAATGTTGGAACTCATTTAATTAAACAGTAAATCTATAAATGAATCCAGAGCAAACTTACAACTATATGGAGTCAAACTGGGGCCATACAGTTTGTTGAAACAAAAGCGAAAAATAAATTATTTACAAATATATATATAGCAAACTTTTTGCCCCAATTAAGTTCCAAAATCTTGGTCGAGAGTCAATGTTCATGAATGGGAATATTTTTATATGCATTTGTAAGAATGTGGCTTTTTTTTATTTATTGAAATGAAGATATTCACTTCAAAAAGGAATTTTATTAAGTTTAATACACCGGGCGGATTAAAGTCAGATATGGGTACATTCAGCTTTACAATTCATCCATGAATCACCCATTAAAGTCCTAAAATGTACAATTTACAAGGTTTTACATGGTTCAACTGGTTTCTAACCACAAAAAAATACAATAAACTGCGGTTTTATTTTGAGAAGTGCATAAAAATCTAATCCAATTATATTTAGCTAATTTAAATTCAAAGGCTCATGTATGCAACGTGTTCATATAAGTTAAAATCTTTATAACAAAACGCTCTGAGAGGTCTATTTCCCAAGACGCACAAAGACAAAGAATGGCACACATGCAAACATAAACGGGTTTCAAATCTGCTTGTGTACAGATCCCACTCAGGATACCGAACCCATCAGGAAGGAAAATACACCAGCACTCAAACGCACCGTGTCCAGAGATCTGAGTCACAGGACACTTTGAACGGGTTTTCTCAGACACCGGCGCCTCAGCGGTGTTGCTTTGACGCATCCAGATTGTGCAGAAACACAATCTGAACACTTTTCGCCTCAGCTGACGAAAAGTTTCTGAGATCATCCGTCTTGTGAGCGAGTCTTTCTCCTCGCTCGGCGGCGCCCGCCTCTTTTGATTTATGCGCTCTTCAGAAACAAAGCGAAGGATTACAGTCCAAGTCGATAACAGAAAGTAAAACGGCATTCCGAACACTGGAAGTAAAACGAGGCAGTTGTGCGGACGACGCATGCTCCGAGCCTCAGGACCGCTTCCGGAAGCTTCTCCATCAGCAGCGACACATCGACAGTCTGTGAGGAAGAGGAGAAGGACGAAGAGGAGCGGGCGGGACGAAGCACATCCCGGTCAAACACAGGGAAGTCGGGCCAGCATCGATATGGACGTGGTTGCTAAGGCAACGAGCTCTTAGGACAGAAGACAGCATGCTGGAAGCTGAGAACCCGGCTTCCCTCCAATCACAGAGACTGAAAATAAAGATGAACTTTGGCTTCCAGAGTAAGTTTGACAAAAAAAACAACAAAAAAATAACAGCTTGAAATCGAAGCAGAGATTTTGAACAAGGTCCTAAAAGATAAACAAACAACAACAAAAAAACAGTAGGAAGAAAAAGAATAGCCTGACTCATTTAAACAGACTGAGCTGCGCAGCATCATTTATACTAATTGTGCAAAACTAGTGTCTTAGTGGGACGGTTGACCGTCTGGAGAGAGAGCTCAGCTTAGGACAAGACAGAGACAGAGAGAGAGAGACAGAGAGACGGGGTTTGGGGTGCAGATGTTAGCATGTGCTGCTGTCGCGTCGCACGGTTTAAAGCATGGAGCAGTAACCGCCGCAGGCTCCGCCCCCGGCGTCTTCGTCTGTCAGCTGCACCGCCCTGCCGTGGCTCTCGCTCTGCCACAGACCAGGCGTCTGGATGATCTTCTCCACCAGCTCCTCAAAAGCGCACTGGACGCCGTCCTTTGTCTTTGCACTGGCCTCTGCGTGGACGGGGGACAGAGTAAGACGGTGTGGACCAAAAGGACAGAAACACGAGCGGCTTCCCTCGTGTGATATTGGACACTGGGCAGGTCTGAGTAGAGACCCGACTTACCGATGAAAAGCATGGAATGTTTTCTTGCGAACTTCAGCCCTTCGGCTCGGTCGACGTCATGGTTGTCCTAAAACAGGAAAAACATCTTAGCTGTTTAAACCAGTTTATAAAGTCTGACTACTGACTGAACTAGAGACGCACTGATCCAATATTAAAGGGGCGGTATCATTTAACATTGACTTTTTTTTTTTTTGTAACGTTTTGTAACAAAATCCTATCTGGAATTTTTATTTGATTCTTTCAATGCATATTGGAGAAATCCTTTAATCCCGTGTGGGAACCAGTCGGCTGTGCAAAATGCCTGGGTGGACCTAGCCCCGCCTTCAAGGCGCAGCTCCTCCTTGAAGCTGCAGTTTTAAAGCTTTTCAAGGTTCCGTCTCACAGAGCAGACGTCCCCTTGACTCACCTTCAGACTAGCCGGCAGCAATTAGCACCTGGTGGAGCTGGGCACCTGTTGAGCTCGTTATAGGAGCCGGTTTTCAGTGCGACGGCGGTAAAGACATTGTTTGATATCTGTATTTTTAAAAAGTAGTGTATTGGTGCATCCCTATGCAAAACATTCAGCGAACTTTTAATGAACACTTTCTGTTGGGCCTGAATGAAGAAACAGACGCGTCTGACCCGCTCACCTTGTCGATTTTATTTCCGACGAGCATCTTGACGAGGTCGTTCCTGGTGCAGTAGGTCTCCAGCTCATTGAGCCAGTTGTCCAGCTTGGTGAAAGTCTCTCGTCTTGTAACGTCGTACACTGCAGGTGATCAGAAATGAACAAAACTGTAGCTCAGACCGAATCGTCTCCCGTTAATAACTAAAACACTCCTCAAAACATGCTGGATATTTATTAGAGGCCTTGAGTCTGAAAGGTAATCACTTCAAATTAGTGATGCACAGATACAAGAATCTGATATTAAAATTATTGATCTACAGAAACTAAATGAAATTAGAAAAAGAATGGACATAAAATACTTTCAAAAGTCATTTTGCAAGAAGTGTTTTCAGCTTGGATTTAACAGTGGGATTTTACCTTTTCCTGACCTGAAAGTAAAAAAAAAAAACTTGTTTTTTTAATTTATAAAAGATGGTGGTTTGCCTACCCAGGATGACTCCCTGGGCACCGCGGTAGTAACTCGGTGTCAGGGTTCGAAAGCGCTCCTGTCCTGCAGTGTCCTGCAAAACAAAAAGCCATTCCAGGTTACAGAGTGTAGACAAGATATTCCTGGTGCACAAGCGCCATCTTGTGGTAGTTTAGAGGAACAGCAATCACACAAACAGGTTTTGCTCTTGTTTCCAATAGAAAAGAAATGAATACCTTTAATCTCAATGTGAACATTTGAACTCACCCATATCGCCAGCTTTGCCTTGTTTCCATCCACTGATATGGTCTTCACTTTGAAGTCGACACCTACATGCAGGAGAAATGCAGACAATCGGTTATATTGCCGTGGTTACCTCATGCTCCAGTGTGACGACTCTCACAGGTTTTAATCCATCAGTGCCAAGAATATCACATTTGCTGCCGGCAACCTGCCAAGACACACAGAACCGCAAACCGTCTCCGAACCCCTGGCGACCCGGCCCGTCTTTTAGATAAACGACGTTGTGACGGAGCATCCAAACGCCCCACTGAGGCGACGGTGTGCTTTTTGTGTCTTAAACTCCAAACAATGGGAGTCTGTGCTGAAAGAAGAACAAGATGCAACCAGCAGTCAAATGACTCAGAGAGTATTCAAGTCAAAAAAACTGGAAAAGCTCCATACGTGAACAGAACACGCCTTCCTTTCTTGTGCGAAGAGGTAAGTCACCTCGGTGTCTCAGAGCAGGGAGGGTTAGTAATAGAATAAAACCCAAAAATGAAAAACCAGTGAATTTGAAACTGTAGCGCCACGCTGCAGGTTCTTCCGCCAGCGAACCAACCGCACGAGTTTAAAATAATGGAGGAATTTAAACTCTCTTCCAGTCTCTTCACCGTTACACAATCAGACGTGTGTTTCCTCTTGAAACATTCAGGAAAGCATCTGTTTGCAATCGAGACGCCGCTAACAGTGGAGGCCGAAGCGAGGTCGATCTGTCGGCAGAAACGTTTACAGTCATTCTGTGGAATGGATGCAAAGATCTGGTTTCAACTGTGAAAATAGGACCCTTATTTTGGTGGAAGGAAAGAACTGGATTTCTCTCACTGCATTGAAATTCTGCATGTTGCAGCATAGTTAATCAACTTTTTTTTAGCTTTAAATCATGAAATAATGTTATTCCGTCATCAATCTCATACCTGGAGCGTTGCCTTGATTCTTTCATGCAACATTAAGAAATCCTTGAATCTCCCTTGGCAACCCTTCAGGGATGCCTAAAGCCTTGCTCTCACCAAGAGCTGCATGTTTACACTCGGCTCCTTCAGACTAGCAGCAACAATTAGCAAACACCTCCACCAGCTTTGTTACAAACTGAAAAATACATTATCCCTCCCCTTTAAAGATCACTTTAAGCTAGCGCGTCACCCAGAGTACATGGTTTTAAAACCATAACTTGATAATGGACTGTATGTGTTCCGGTTTGTCCTTCACAAACTGCTTCATCTGGGTGGTTGTTATGATATTTTTCCTCTTCTCATATACAACTCAAACATTTCTTTGCTGCAACTAATCGTCTGTGAGAAAGGAGCTTGACTAAAAACATGCAAACAACAACAACAAAAAAAATGTTACTTCATGTCTAATCTGAGAGGATGGGTATATGAAAACATGCTTATTAGAGGGGACATTTTCCTCTTGAACATGTTTAAGCGGGGAGAGGTCCGGTTTGTTCCGATTCTTCAAATTCAGTATTGTGTGCGGTTCTGCAGCAGGAGCAGCAACTCTGACAGACGTGGCGTCTTTACTCACCTATCGTCGCCGTCTGCTCCGGGTCAAACGTGTCATCTGTGAATCGTAGGAGGAGGCTGTTGGTGAGAAAACAGGAAGTGAAGTTCACGTCTCGCTATGACTCACTGCTTCTTTATCCCTTGGTGAGCTGGACAGCGCTTCCTGTTGCCTGGCTCAAATATCCACCGACCTCATCTTTGTCTCTATTGATTACCTCACCCTTTACTTGCATCACACACACAGGCTTCAGATGATGTCACCGCTACACATGAGCTAGGAGGACAGAGGTCACTTCCCATGGGTGACATCGCAAGTTCAAAGTCCTTCTTCAGAAGCCTGATGAGGAGGCTCGCTTCTGACCTCTGACCCCAGCAGAGCTCTCTAGGATGTCCCTCTGTAGGATGAGTAATTTTCCCTGAAATAACTGGTTCAGGGAAAAATCAAACCCACGTCCTCCCTGCCAAGCAGACGTCTTCCTGACGATCGGAGGCAATCACATAAAACAGATCCACTCGCTTCCCGGTCCTAATGACACTACCTCTGCTTGGGATTGTCATTATCATCAATATGACATCTGAAACTAATCCTGAGCTGAACTTTTTTGTTTTAGAAAACAAAAGCCCACTGTAACCGATGACACCAAATAGCTTCGTGGAAATGCTGCCATCGGTCTGAACGACGAGCGAGCAATCAGCATGCCGAGCAAACTCTTCTGGTGCCTGGGAACATAAGCAGACGTACAGCAAGCTCATGGGGAAGTTTCAGCAGAATAATCTGTTGTGCTTTTGTTTTTGTTTTTCAGGTAACTGTGTCGCTGTGACTGCATGACATTGCAATCGCAGCACCAAAGACAAATGATGCCCCTCTTAAGACATTAGAACTGCATTTAATCATATTTTCAAATTATTTGGTGTTCATGGAACCTAGAGTGGGGATAACTAGAGCAATAAAAACACCGACAGTTTTAGGGGTTTTTAAACATTAGAAATTTAGATTTTTTTTGTTTGTTTTGAACTAATTAGAATTTATTGTGACAACGATAAATCAAAATCTCATCGTGATAAATGATAAGGCGATAAATGTTAACCGCTAATCGGGGATTCCGTCTGCAGTAAGGAGCGCCTTCAAATCATCCATCCATCAGACAGGCAGCTCCTCAAAACCAGTCAGGACTCCGATTCCAGATTCTTTCTTCCAGGAGAGAAATTCTGATCCCAATGTGTCTTCCGCAAATATTTCACTTTACAGACATTTGTCACATTTATGACCAAACCCGATCAAAGTCGCTTGTTAAACACCGACCACGGAGTTTTTAGGAGGCATTTGTTGGGCGTCACGGTGAAGAGAAGCTGAACTGGACGCTAACAAACATCTTAAGGAGTGAACAAAGATGAGCTCAGCCAGCAGCTAGCCGCTAGTAGCTAGCCACCAGCAGCTAACAAGAGGCTTCTGCTGTTCTTTGGTGTTTATTAGCCCTGACAGCTTTGTAAGTAGTGCTAAAAATATATAAAAAATAAAATAAAAACCAATGGAAAATGTTTGTTCAGGCTAAACTCAGCTCCACTGTCCTGTTTGGACGCCTTTGATGAAACAGAAGCCAGCAGGCTGTAGCACGAGCCGACATCCGAGCCAGCGCCGATTCTCGACCCGGATAAAGCTTCGTCTTACCTGGACTTGCCAACGCCACTTTCCCCGATGATTAAAATCTTCAGCGTCGTTAAGACGTCGTCCTCCATTTCCTCCGACAAGGGTCCGTTTGTTTCTCTGTAATTTCACAAAGCAGAGGCAGAGAACTGGGCTCCTGGTTACAGCTGGTTTGCTCGCTCCAATCACATCCGGAGTGACGCGTTGGCACTTCCGGTTATCCAGCAGACTCCGTAATGACGGAGCGCATATTGCATACAGTCATGGAAAAGAAAACGTTTTTTTTTTTAAAAATTATAATTATTCTTTGGTTTTAGCAGTTAGAGCATAATGACATATGATGTTAATTTTACCAATTAAAAAAAAAACCACAAAGAAAAAAAAAAAAATTTTTTTAACTTTTTTTAAAAAATGTCAATCCTCCGTTTCAATAAGTTTTTTTCTAAACAGCAGAATTTTTGGTTACGTTGCTTATCCTGAAAAAGAAAAGAAAAAGACACCAGTACGTCACTAGCACTGTTTTATGTTGATTTTGAGATGCTACGTTAGTTTCAAGCAAGATGTAAAGTGATGCACTTCTTCCAACAACTTCCACCCTTGATTTATGAGTCCACAGGATATTTTCCAATTAATCTTTGAGACTAAGATGGGTTTGACGTTTATGTGCTTTTATTTTTTTGAAAAAAAAAAAAAAGAAATCTTCTAACTCTCCAATGAAAGCAGTTCTTGCCCAATCTGTGTCTTACAGTTGAATCATCAACGCTGAGTCCTGCAGTGCTTTAAATATTATTCTTGGTTTTCAGTGGAAGAATGACCACTGTTTTATGTTTGTTTTTTGTTTTTGTAGATGTTCTGCTGCAGGCCCAAACCTTAAGAGTTTCACTGACTTTGTTCATCTGTTCATGAATTTCTCTAAATTGGGAGACTACATGTTGCTTTTTGATAGCTTTAAAATCTGCTCGCTGTTGTAAATTCCTGCCAAAAAGAGCAAATTTTGAGAATAATTTCAGACATTTTCTACAAGGACCTCTCTCTCAGCCCCCCTAAAATTTTGGAAGTCCAAAAGTTAAATATTTGCAAGCAAAAAAAAAAATAAAAAATTAGAAATGTTGAGATTGAACTCAAGAAATTTTCTGGAAAAACAGCAAAATTTCAGTTTCAGAAGCCAAAATAGTTGAACTTTCAAAACTGACAATTTCCAAAAGTCTTTTTTTTTTTTTACTTTTCCAAAAAATTTTCTGGACAATTTCTGAGATTAATCTGAAAAAAAAAAAAAAGAAAAATCAAGATTTCTAATTTCCCTCAAAATTTTGACTCCACAAACTTTTTGGAGAAGTATTACATGGTATAATCAGAAATGAATGAATTCATAAAAAATACATTTAAAAGTCTCCAATTTAATAGAGTGGACATAATGAACAATGAAGAACTACTGCAACGGTGTTAAAGAGAACCACAAACGAGCCAGACAAAAATACAAGGTTTTTTTTGGTATTTAATAAATATCTTGTGAACAGCACTGGGGGGAAACATGGTAATAAAATAAAATAAAAAAAGGCACTTTAAAAGCAATATTTGAAAGGCCCTGTGTTGTAGTTTAGAGGCATTTGGGTGTGAGCACACTTTTGAGGTGATTCGTGCGGCATCTTCAGTCATTCAGTGTGAATAATAAAACTGGCACAGAAACAAATTGATAAGAAAACACCTGGGACCTGAGGATTAAAAAAAATGCAGAAAACAAAACTTGATTACATCAGAGCTGAATCTCATTATCATATAACTGCAGAAATTTCTTGATTGTTCGGCATTGCTGTGACTCCGTTGTTTTTAACAAGTGGTATACAATCCTTTGGCGTTAGCGCGCCATGTCAACACTCCAAGTAAAATACTTCATATCTGTCTTGTGTTTTGACTTTCATATTAGATCAGCGCTCTGAAAGAGTGCAAAAAACCCTTTAAAAAAAACAACTAAAATCATTAGCAAATTCAAAACTACATTTACAACCACTTTATTCGCTCCTACTGTCCGAGTTGTACTGAATTCTGCTAGACGTTGTTCAGAATACCTTATTGCAGTCGATCTCTAAATATACACAGACGCACGGGACACGAAGTGCAGCAACAGTGACGCGTTAAACAGGAGGCTTGACTGCTAAGAAACACGAGCTGGAGAAGTCTTTCTAAATCCGTAGGCTTCAAATTGGACCGGTCCGTCAGCAGAAAACAAAAACGCGACGCTTGCAAGTATGTACAAAGACCGCATACTGTACATCAAAAATACGACACATGGGGTATAAATTGTACGTGTTAGTAACAACAAACAGGACGCAGTGGCTGAGTGATACAATGCTACGATGAAGCAACGAAGACGAACGCACAAATTTTCCGCCATTCGCTCCCGCCGGACAGGCTGGTGTTTGACTGCAGCTGTTGCAGAGGTGGGGTCAGAGTTCAGGAAGGACCGCCGGGGCCATCATTTGCCCTCGTATTTCGGATTGACCACAGTTGTGACGGCACTTTTGTAGATTGGATTTTCACCCTGGAGAGCACAAAAAAAAACAAAAAAAAAAACAACAGAGTTCAAATTCAAAACCCTGACAGGAAGTTGGCTGAACAGATTCAGCTCCTTAAAAAAAGGTTGTTTTTTTTTTGAATGTTTTGTCATTTTATAACCACAAACTTCAAATCCTAATAAATTAGAGGTGTGTTATTGGGACTGTATGGAGTAAACCAACACAAAGCAGCAAATAGTTGGAAAGTGGAAGGAAAAGGTCATGAAAGTGATGTGTATTCATATTCAACACTCTGATTCCATGTTGATGATCTGGATCATAGTTCTGGTGAAAGCTGAACTCTTGCCCGAGACTCAAGTCTTTTGTAACAGTTACCCACCCAGTTCAGTACCGTCACCCATCTTCTGACCAACTCTGAGCATTTTCACTATCCCTGATGGATAACAGCCTTTCTCGCCATTCCCCCATCACGGGCCAAAAAGTCATATTTTGGTCTCACATGATTACGGTAGAGTGATTCTTTCCTTCTAGGAAGGTTTTATTGTTGCAACTCTAGCATAAATGTCAGATTTATAGCCATATTTCTAGGGTTGCACCAATTGCAATTTATTTATTTATTTTTTGGGCTGATCATCAATTTTTAAAAAGCCTGACCTGCCGATCGTCGATACTCGTTTTTTCGCTAAATAACGCAACCAAGTTGCTAATTTATTCTTAACCTGTTGTTGTGCGGGTCAGTCAGCCAACCCTCTCAAGCAAAAGCCGGCAGTGGCTGATTTTCAGACCTTTACACAGGTAGATAAAATTGGTGGAGAAGATCGTTTTTCTATGCGAGTATCGGCCAATCGATCGGGGTGGCTTTATGGGTCCACCTCTCCATTATTCGAGGATGTATTGACAAGGTTGGGATATAATTTTATACCTCAATTCTGCTTTAAGTCTCCTGATAACTTAATCTATAAACTGTCCAGTAAATTCCCTGATCTTCCCAGAACAGCTGGACTGACTTCATGATTAAGTCGGTGAACTAAATACCATTTAAGTACCTTTTTAAGGCAACTGGCTGTCTGGGATTTTATTGTGAGGCATCGAGGTAAACTCCCCACCACTTTTCAAAACTTTATTTGCTAAGAAATTTGAAGATTGTGCTTTCCTTACTTTCCACATCCTCTTTGTGCTCTGCTTGGAGAAAAAAATCTCTCAAGGAAACATTAAAAGTTTGTGGTTTTAATGTGGGGAAAAAAAGCAAAAAAGTTCAAGAGGCATGGATGCTTTTGGAAATTGCGCCGTAGTTTTAGTTTAATAAAGAAAAATACAAAAAAAAAAACAACAAACAAACACACAAATTAGTCGCCGAATGTCAGAGACCATCCCTTAATGAACACGTCATGTATGCAGGTCACACCTCAAGGACATGCCACACAGCCACTAAGCATCATCAATACAATTATTCACACTTACCACATGATGCTTTAGTTAGATGTTTTTCATACCACCCAATGTTTCCAAAGGTGGGTATTTTTTGCTACATTGTTTTGTCACAGCACACTCATGCAGTCTTTTACAAACCGGAAATCTGAACAGGGATTGTACCCCTTACTTCTGTAGCGGATATGTTGTTAAAAAATAAAGGAAGAAAAAAAAATAGAATGAAGGAAGGAACTAAAGCCAGAGGTCACACAGACAAAAAACAAATAGCCCATGCTGGAAGAACAAGAGGAGAGGAAAAGAAATACGAACTCAAAGGACAGCGCCTTTACGTCCATAGTTTGGGTTCTGGAACTGATTGATTGGACTCTTGTAAATTGGGTTTTCTTGCTACAGGTGGAGAATGAGGACAGAGGAGAGTTCAGCAGGAAAAAAAGGAACATCAGAACAGTAAAGGAATAAATAAGAAGCATACAGGAAGAACAAGGTCAAGTGAATATAGAGGACAGAGGACAACACAGCGGTCCCCTACGTCTTTCTAGAAAACGCTACGTCTGACAACTTTTGAGCAAGAGAGAGATGATTTTAGAATAGAATAGAATTCAACTTTATTGTCATTGCACTGTCACATGTACAAAGTAACTAAATGTAGCGTGTAATGCTCAGTTTAACTGAAGAGTTACACTGCAGAAAAAAAACTAAGCTGATCACATTCTCAAATGACAAAGTTTTCTTGCCAGTCATATAACTCCTACTGAATAAATGAGGTTATCTGCTCTTGATGAATCCACCAGGCCAGTAGCAAGGAAGGCAGAAGACTGATTCACCTATCAGAAGATCATAACCACCACCGTTCTCTGAATGCTAACGCTACATGTTGTCCTTAGACATCTGCCAACTTCACCTTTAGATGGTGACTATATTGCAGCCTACTCTGGTGAAAAACTTTGTAAAAATCATGAAATAAATAGATAAATAAACAAATAAAATGTCTGTTTCCTGGAATAATTTGCATTGAAATGAATTGTGAGAACTGGATAACTGGGGAGAAAAAAAATGTTATTTGTTAGTTCGAATAATAAACTGAGCTTAATGCACTGCTTGATAACTAGGACCAATTAGAATATATGTCTGACTGAACTAACTGAATTGAATTGAGCTGGTTTGTATTGCTGTGTTCTGGCTTTCCATTGTTTGCGCTTTCCTTAACACAATTAAACAACGACTATGCTGTAAATTTCTGCAGATGCCCAGGTCACTATACGGTGTCAGAAGTGGGATTTCGTCCTGCTGCTATTTTGTTTCTAGATTCATGCTAGCTGTATTAAGAATACATTTCAGACAGTCAGATTGTGGGGATGAATACATTTGTAATTTGTAATCTGCTGCTTTTGCATCATCATTTTCCTTGTTTTTCTAAAAGGGGGAACTTCCATGGAGTTCATGAACCTTAAATAAAATTAAAACCGCATTTTTGCCAAAATATTATTATTATTATTTTGTGCCAAAATAATCTTTTGGTAAAAAAAACAGAAGAAGTGGTTAATTAAATTTTTTTTTGGTACAAAATTATTTTGTATAAAATGACTTGGGCCATACAATATCAAATTTTTCATGTTAATTTGAATTCAAATCAACTGTAATACAACCCTGCCACTAGGTGGCAGAGTATAACTTCACATGGTCCTGAGTAAATTCCTGCTTTCCCTCCTGTTGATCTTGGCTCCTATTGTGACATGAGGGAGGAAGCGGGGTGGGAAGAAGGCTTAGCCCCTCCCTGGAAAAATTTTTGCTATGCACAGAGCACATAGCATTCCCAAAAAAGTCCACACAGACTCCCAACATTTTTCCTTCTTCGGTCGAGCCCTGTTTAAAAGCAACAAATTCAATCCGTCTTCACAGCTGCCAGAGCCCTCAGAGCGGCAGCGAGGGCGCTCGTAATAATATAAACATGGCAGTAAATCCCATCTGCTGCTAAGAACAACTGATTACCTTCCCTGTGAAGGAACAGAGCAACACAGAGGGCCGAGCTGCACCTGTTTTCCACATCTGAATCGCCTCTGCTAAAACGCTGGATTTCCAGACACCCACCGTATCCCACTTGGCGTTCATCTTCTCCTTCTCGAACTTTGCGAACTCTCTCCTGTCGTGGATGATCATCAGGAGCTTCCAGATGAGCAGCAGCGCCAAGCCGATCAGGACGATGCCGGCGACCACGCCCGCGACAATCGGGATGATGTCCGGGCCCGTGGGGCAGTCTAGAACGGGGCAGCAGAGTTAGGATCGGCAAACAGCGAGGGCAACCACTGCATTCGCCACGGGGCGGGGACTGTGCTCACCCGGCTCATCCAACACGTAGACCACCTTCTCCGTGGTGCTGGTGACGGTGTAGGCGTAGTAGAGCCAGCAGTCGTTGGCGTCCCGCTCCTTGCAGTGTGTGATTGGGTAGGATTTGTCGGTGGGCTGGGGAATCTTGTCTTTGGTCGGCACTTTATGCATGGTGAAGTCACTGCATTCCTTCTCACACGTGTCTTTCTTCACCCCAGTGCCAAACGCCCGGCACTCCACGCACTCTCTGAAGAAAACAGAATTAATAAAAACTGATTGTACACAATCTTTTCTGGGAATGGAAGGAAAACACCTTAAACAAAAGAATAAAATAAACCTGTATTGTAGCATGGCAAACAAGGTGTAGCTGAATTATATCTGCCGTTCTAGTTTATGTTTTCGTTCCCCTCACTGTCCCCCGCCGGGCCCTCCCTCCTCTACATGCTAAACTCAGGACATTTCTTTGTAAACGTTCTGTGCTTTAAAGTACAGATCCATCCATCTGTAATGGCCCTTATGTTGACAAAAATTCTAGATTGGATATCTGTGGCAATGCGCCCGATCCATAAGGGCAGAGCTATTCAGTCTAATTCTATGCTTAATCTCAGATATTTGTAACGGTATCAGAAGGGAAAACAGTGGATTGATGCATAATTACTTTTAAGGAGAAATTCTGCCAGACCAAAAACAGAATTCAGTGTTCTTTAGTTTGTGGATGGATTCGGTTGTGCAGATAGAAACTTAAAGGTGGTTTTTGTTCCACACAGTCATTTCTTACTTGTGTTCAGCGCAGGCTGAAGGACAGGTGGGACACGATTCGCACGTCGGGCCCTGGAATTTGGGGTCGTCGCACTTGCAGATGCCGCATTCGCAGCGTCCCCTGCCGTTGCAGATCTGCTTGTTGCTGGCCAAACACGTGCTCTCGTCCAGGGAACAGTCGCAGGCAGTTCCGTTCCACATGGGGTCACAGATGCACTTTCTGCACTCGCAGCGCCCGTGTCCTGAACAGCAGAGAGAACGGAGGGAAGAACGACGGAGCTCGTCTCAGTATGATGCATTATGGTCATATTTTTTACAACACTATCAGCATAAAAAATAATAATTCCGCGATGATCAACCGATTCTGAGGTTCAGAAATTAGAATTTTTAATTCCACTTCATACCGGTTTCAGACCATTTTCACTTCTCCTTAAAAACTTGAATATGAAGAGAATGGAACTAGCAAGGTTTCTTTTTTCTAAACTTCCTGCAATGAGCTGACATTACTTATTTATATTTAGGACTCGGAGGCAATGCACTGCAGTGACTTTAAGAAGGAAGTTACTGTAAAACTAAATTTTAGAAGTTTAAGACATTTTAAACCAGAGTTGTCCAAAGCAGGAATGGGTGATATGGACTTAAAGTTTTGTGGTATTTCTGTGATAATGTGATAGCTCTTTCAAAGTGACCTATACCTCGTTTTTGTTCCAGAGAATCTATTTATATGTTTTTCAAGACCAACAAAACAGAAAACATGCAACCCGAAAAAGTCGTGTTTATGAGAGCCTTTCATAGTTTTCTTCAAGAAAATTTTTTAATTTGTTTATTTTATTTCAGAGCAGGTAAAAGGAACAAAAAAAAAAAAGTAATTTTTTTTCTAACTTGGCGAAAGAAATTGTGGCCCTGAACTATTTCCATTACCAATTTTGGTCCATGTGGATAGTTTAGACATGTAAGTTGTAACCTATAAAATCATATTCTGTTATACTAACGTTACTAATAAAAATGCTGATGGTGCGTCAACAGCTGCGTCAAACTATAAGAAGAGCAAAAATGATATTTTTGGTCAAGTTTTGGTTCTTTTTCTGCTTAACTTTGAGTCGAGTTTCCAGGTTTCATGTGTTCTGCTCGCTCACAGGAAAATGACTTGGCGTGACTCTTAAGATTCCACAGACTCACCTCCACAGAGTTTGTTTCCAGAGCGGTCGCAGTTGAAGTTGTCACACTCGCAGAACTGCCCGCTGTACCTCTCCTCCGGGTTCTCCCTCGGCTTGCACTCGCAGGTGCCGCACACGCATTCCCCGTTGTTGCTGCAGATGTCGGTGCCGTTGTCCTTGCGGCAGGTCCGGTCCATGTCCTCCGTGGACACTTCGTTGCTGCTGCACTCGCACTCCCGGCCCACGCGACCATCTTTGCACCTGAAGCAGAGGGATAAGGGCCGCCAAGCGAATGGGGTTTCTTTAGATAACAAGAAGGACAACTATGACAAAAAATGAGGTGTTGGAGGGATTCGTACCTGCAGGCTCCGCACTCGTACGTCCCGTTCCCGTTGCTGCAGACCTGGCTGTTGTTAATAGCTTCACTGTGGCAGTCGCACTCGCAAATGAAGTTGAGGATAATCTCCACCTCCTCTGTGAATCCCAGGGGCTTTATCTTGATAATCTCAGGATTGGTTTTGTTTGGACAACCTTTAGAAGTGATGCTGATGTTAAAGTGGACCTGAAGGAACACAGGAGGAATGCTTATTCAATGAAAAGCTGCTGGTGCCACGAGAAATCTCAACTGACATGCTTGGGAAATCTTAGTCTTAATGTACGTCTTCTTTTTCTTGAAAGGGCTGCAGTTTAATGCCTGAAAGACGGAGTCTTAAAAAAGCTGAGAAACATTTATTTAACCAGGTAAGTTGAATAAATCCTCATTTTCAGCAAAAACGTGTACAGAAAATATTAATACATCATACAACAGAAAATAGAAGAGTATCATAAAAGAAATGTTGTAAATGCCTTGAAAAGAATCAAAAAGTTTGTGACTGAAAAAAGTTCTCAAATAAAACTACTATTGAGATACTTTATTATAATGAAGTACCTCAAATGAGATCAAGAAGAAAAAAAACAACTAATCAAACCATAAAATGTTTCGGAAAATGTTCAATAAGATTTTTGGTCCTGTGTAGCATGTTCTGCTTTATGCTGTTCTGAAGATAATGTGGAAAGTTGTTAAGGATGACCAACAATTCTTCGATATTTTTTATTTAATTATTTCTTGAGAAGTCGCAAGCTATAGCATATTAACAGTACACAAAATAAATATTTAGACAGTTTTTGGCATTTTTCATTTGTGTTTTCCTTCTAAAACAATTCCCATTCATATGTTGAGCATCATTTTTATTCCAATCTTCATCGTTTGCCAAACCTAAAATTAATTTTCCTCCTCAACAACTTCCTTTCCCTTTGCTTTTGTTCTGTTGTTTTACAAAAATGCAGCGTTTACCCCAGTGTGTCATAAGCTATGATATCTGTAACATAAAACCATCATCTTCCACATCCCACCTCATCTCCTATGGAGATATTGGAGCACTTCCTCCCATTTTCGCCCTTATTGATCACTCCGTTCTTACAGCGAGACGTGTACTCGATTGTCACGTTGTTTGAAACTTTGGTGTTCTCCAGAATCACTTCAGAGGAAAGAGCCTGTCAAGAAAAAAAGAAAAAAAAAAGGGAAAACAACACAAAAGATAAGACAACATAGCTTAGTCACTGGAATGCCATCTGGAAGCTCAGTTTAGACAGCAGAGAATAAACAAAGCATTAGCTGCAGATTAGGAAGGAATGCATGCAGAACTTAATTCAGAATGCTGCACAATGTTCCTGTTGCCTATTTGAGCAAATGATAACGTGATCAGTTCGACTGGATTTGAGTTGTACTTAAAATCCTGAAGAATGTACTTACATTGTAAGCGTCTATGATAAGGTTGATGACGTTGCTCGAGTTGGCAGACAGCGTGCCCACTGCAGACTTTGGTATCAGATTTTTCAGTTCCTGCAGAGATGAAGAGGAAATACCAAGAACGACATTTAACAAAAAAACTCTTGATGTCCTGTCCTTACTCTACAAAGGCTGAAATGATTAATCTTAATTCATCGATGATTGAAATAACTGTCAATCAATTTAGTTATCAACTAATTGCTAACTGTTGAATAAAGGACCAAAAAAAGACAATTTGCTGAAAGAACAAAATAGTCAGAGCAGTAATTAAGCCAAAACTGTATAAATATGTACATGTTCTAACAAAAACTCCTCAAATGGCATTTTTAGCTTCACCTGGTTTGAGTTCTAAAAGAAAAAGCTCCTCAATAAAGCATCTTTTGTTACCCACCTTAAATGGTTAACAACAGTGATTTTATTAAAATGGGCCATTTATAAAAACCAAAAGAAAATCAACAGATTAGTAGATGGTACTTATTGAGCTGCAGATGGATCTTTTGCTACAGATGTTCAAGCATTCACTAATTGAACGCTGTGTCATTGCATTTTCGGGAATACAATTTTCATTGTCTTATTCAAAATAGTAACTGTAGTATTGTATGAAAAAACACAAGTGGTTAACTAAAAAATCTGCAGAATTTGTCAATTTTCTTCATCCAATTAATCAATTAATTGTCAGAGTAATCGATTGCTAAAATCTCAATGTATTTTTGCAGTCGAAATGCACTGATGTACTGAAACTGTACATTTTTGCTCACTTGCAGACGTTTCTGGCTAAAATTTCATTATGATTACAACAAACACCTTAGAGAAAAAAAAAAGGCTAATGTGTTCTAACCTGGTAAACGGGCTGGAACTCTTCTGTGACGGCAAAAATAGTCTGAATGTTGTTGTCACTCAGCTTCTGCACCAGGTGAGCGATTGAGGGGTAGTCCTGAAAAGACAAAAGAGAGAGACGGTTACCTTCACGTCGCAGGAAGCCTTCGATGCTGCCAGAACGGCCAAAAGAGCAGGCATTCCCTACATAGTAGTGGCTCATGGTGTAGACGTTGTTCTCGAGGTGGCATTTCCCGTCGTTGGGCAGCACAATGCCACCCAGCTTCCCGTCGCCAGCAAAATGGAATCCGGCGTCAGTGGAAAACACCAGTAGGCGCGTCACGTTCCTCCAGCCGATCTGTTTCTGTATTAAAATGAACAGAAATACCAACCTGCAATCACCTCAAATCTCTGGAAACGGAGTTGTAAATGAGCAGCTTAAAAAGAAACAGATGAGGGCTTGATTCGCATCCAAAGATAGAAGACTCATAAAATATTCCCACCCTATAAAGGTCACTGGATACATCTGGTGAGCTGTAACTGTGAGAAAGCGGCTGGAACGGTGGGAAAATTACCCTCAAAACCTGAACCTCATGTTGATGTCAGTGAACAGTGGCTTACCCCACACACGGCCACTTGCATGATGGCGTCGAAGCCGCCCTCGGGGGAGTCCAGGTTCCCCGAGATCTGCTGCTCCCCCACCAGCCTGTTGAAAGTGGAGCCATTATCAGTCAGCGGCAGCACGTTCTTGTAGCTGAACGGGCTGGTGCAGTTCTGGTCGCCTGTGCATGGATTCAGCAGCTTGGCCGGAGTGGTGCTGATGTAAGGCATGACTGTCTTTTCCACAAAGGAGCCAAAACCTTTCAAGAAAAAAAAAAACAAAACAATAAAAGTTAAACTACAGGTATAATAGATGTATCTGTGTATTGGTGAAAGGACAATGCTCTAAAACTGCATCCAGACAGTGGGCCCATTTCTATTCCAACACTTGTGAATATTTTGCATCAGTGCATGACATTTGCTGCGTTTCCATTACAAATGTGCATAAAACTTTGTCAGTATTCCAGTAATGTCGGAAAATAAAATAATTTCAAAAATTGACATTGCGGTGATCCCATAAGATTGAAAAACACTCATGAATAAACTTCTTCATAAAATAACTTGTGCAGTCATCCTCAAGCTACTTCCTGACACCATCTTCTTTGTGGTTTTTGCCAGTGGCAACATCAGTTTTTTTAGTAGAAAAACAAGTCACCTCATCTGAAAATAAATTCACTTCCATTAAGTGAATTTATTGTCGAAATGTCAAATTATGGAATTATATGGTCAATGGAAAGGCAGCCAGAGTGAACTCTTTGAAGCATCAGCTAGGTGTTAATAAAAGCTGTAAATGTGTCATCATCTTTTTCATAAAAATAAACTGTAGACAGGTATAGATAGCAATAAATCAATTAATCACAAGATAAATTGAACTGAGTTTGATCATTTCCATTTGAATGATTGTCTATCTCTTTCTACCAACAAATGGCTATCAAACAGCTTCAGTCTGGCAATTTGGTCTCAGTTAGCCTATTTTTCAAGAGCAAATTTGCTTAAGGGGACTTAAGTGTATATTGTATTTGTTGTTTCAGTTGTTTTGTGTATTTACTTTAAGGATCCAAAATGTCATTGAATTCTAGAGTTAATGTTTCTTAGAGATGAAAGTTTACGGGTCTTTGAGAGGATTACTATGCGTTTCTATGTCCTTACCATTATATTTCTGGACTGTAGTCTCACAATGACAATATTATTGTTTATCGCAATAAATTCCTGGACAATTTATCGACTTGTTTTTGTGACAAGCCTAACTGTAGCCACTTATAATTGTAGAAAAACAAAATAAAAACAAAAAAACATTAGTCCAATTCCAGCCTGCCAGCGATGCATCTGTGCAAAGTGTGCCATGATTTTGAACACATTTAAAATCATTTGTGGGGATTTTGTGGGGATAAAGACTATTAAAAATAGTCTTTTTAGCAGACTATTTTTTTTCTGCCTAACACAAGGAGTTGTATTCTTGAGAATGTCTCTGACTCTGTTTTACATGACTATAAATAAATATGACTAGACTCTCCCCAAAAGTGCATAATGTCTTAGCTATATGAGGTCAAACTGTGTCAATAACAGAGAGATTCTTGTTGAACCGATTTCAAAAGCAGAATCTGTCTATTGTATAGATTTAGAACAAGAGGCATACATACACATAGGTTTGCTGAGGAATAAATGGGTTAAATCCCCCTGTTTATTACCACTTAAAATGATTTATATAGAAGGTTGTCAGTACTTGCGTTAATGATCAAATAAAATGTGAAAACAGATTTGAAAAACAGGCACTATTGACAGAATTTCTGGAGTCTGTTTCAGTTCAAGTTGCAAAGCTTTCCGATGAGAGGGAAGAGAAGCTAAAAGCGAAAACGATGAAGGTAATACAAAGAAAAGTCATACTTTGTAAGGAGTAAAATGTCCAAGCACAATCCATTCCCAGTTTCATAAACATCATAAAAGACTTGAACTAATGAGATTTCCTGACCTATCTTGAAGTCAGATGTAATCTTCGACATCTCATACATCAGACTGGTCCCCAGGTTCTTTACGTTCTCCAGATCGTCCTTCATGGAGAAGGACAGGTCCATCAAGTAGTACAGGTCTATGGGGTAATCTTCTGCACGCTTAAACTTCAGCTCAAAGGACTGTGGCTCACCTTTATATAGTTAGAACAGACAAGAATTGTCAAAATTACAAAGTGACCGATATACATAGCTGGACTTCGTGTGAAGTTGATGTTTACGCACCAGATCGGAGAGTGAGGCTGACTTTTTGGGGCTGGACCTGAGTGATTTCCTCTGGTCTCAATTTTCCTTTGGCTTTGCTGCGATCGGTCACCGACTTGTTCTTGAGAATCTCCTGTTTGCCCAGTGGGTTCTCGATCAATGTTTTGTTGCAGCCCCGTTTTATCAGCGACTGCAGCTCGTCACACCGACTTGACACGGTCTCGCCCTGTTTCAGGAAGTTCTGAAGAGAGGCAGCACAGAGATCATTTATGTTGGGATTAACATTTTGAGGCGCTTCAGTTAGGGTCTGTTGGACGAATCGGCAATAAATGGATAAATACATAAACAGCTTGTTCATGTAGAATTTTTTTTTTCTATTCTGAAATCGACTGAAATTACTCAAATCAATTTTAGTCTGCTTAAATTTTTTATATATATTTTTTAATTTAAGACAAAGCCAGGCAGCTAAGATAATATAAATCTGATAATTTAAGTTATGAACAAGCCCTACTTTTATTTAAATATTAACTAATACAATTTGATACAGTTTGAATTGTTTTCAATACATTTTCTAATTTTCTAGACTGCTTTTTCTTTTGTCACAGGCACATAATTAAAACAGAATCTCTAAATAAATCGGTTTCTATGATCCTACAATACAGAATCAAATTGTTAGTCACTGAAAGATTTGCATCTCTTATGGTTCGATAAAGTAATTAATGTGCCAAACATTGCGTCCAAAAAGAAAAGCTTAACAAGAAACTTTCCTGATTTTCCAATCGGAAAGGGATATGGAGAATTTTGAGACTAGTTGGAAGACATAAAAAAAGATATTTAAGGAAAAGAGAGCATTCTATAGAACAGAAACACATTTTTTCACGCCTGTGCATTACTCTGCAGGAAGTGTAGCTGACAGCTCTGAGTTACACACCGGGTCTGTACACCAGCCACATTTGGCTCCGGTCTGGATGCACTCTCCGCAGTGTTTGGCATTTTTGTTGATGCACTCGTTCCCCTCTAGATGGAAAACAAAGAGAGAGGAGTGGTCAGAGTCAGAGGGAGCAGCGCCACAGAGCTGCTCTGCGGCAGAAACTTCATACATGTACGCACCAGTAGGTGTGAAACACTGACTGAAGGCTCATAATATTCCATCTTTACTCCAGGACGCTACAGTCATAGCTTCTTCTACAAGTTTGTTAAACTAAAGTAGCAAACGCTTCTCTTATTATGGCCCTTCACTAAACATGTTAACAACCAACAAAATGATATTATGTGAAAAAGAAGGTTTTAGTTTCACAAAAGAAAAATAATCAAATCAACTTTACCTTTCTGAGCGTTACAGCAGGAAAAGAGTCCTATAAATGCAATGAAGATCAGCTTCAGATCCATCTGGAAACACACGAGAAAACAGATTAGGATTGAAATGATTAATCCCGATTAATCAATTTTTGAAATAATTGTCAATTAATCAATTATTTGACAATTGTTTAATCAAAAAGCAGTTTGAGGAAATGGCAGCAAACAAGCCAAAACTACACAAAAAATGTATACATTTTGCATTTGAGATAAAATAAAAACCTTTGTGGCTCATTTTTATCTACACCTGGTTCAAATTCTCTAAAATATAAATCTTATATTAAGAACCTTTTGCTATGTAATTATTAATTATTTAAGCCAGTTAAGCAGAAAGGGCTGCAGTATTTAATTGGCTACAGATGCATCTTTTGATGCATATGATCAAGTGTTCACTAAAGGACTGCAGTGTTGCACTTTGGGACAAAAAAATGTCTACTTCCTCGTTTAAAAAAAGGAACAGACTCATTTGTTTATTTGCATCTTTAGATGCATTTCTAATACTGCATCAAATAAGCTAAATTAAATAAAAAAATCTTGAGACTGTGCCAATTTGTTAAAAATCTGATTGATCGTCAGAATAATCAATTACTAAAATATGCATTAACTGCCACCCTAAAAGACATGATCACAAGAAAAAGCGCCTTTAGAGGTGATGGTGTTTTATTCCAATTGACAGGGATATCGGCTCGATGGTCTGCATGCGCAACACGACACAGCTGAACGAAGCCGACCGCAGCAGTGCAGATGGATCTGCTCGAGGTAACGGGCTGCAACTGTAAATGGCCTGCCTGTAATTGGAGGTCGTAAATTATCCAGAGACAGTTGCTTGGCTTCTCTCTAGTAGTCGCCGAGGAACAGACGGCTAATTAAATTCAGACCACTTTCGCACACAAACATGTATCCAAGCAAAGAGCAGGCCGCCACTCCTCCACAGATTTCCCCCCATTACTGTAAATAGCATCGTCTCCTTGAAGTCCCCCCCTCCCCCCCTTCGCTGTCGTGTTTATTGATCCCCCAGGCTTTTTGGTCAGAACCATATTGACGAATCTCGGTCTAATCCTAATGCAGAGCTCAGGGCTCACTAATGGATGCGGCGACTGCAGGTCCTTCCCCTGCAAGGAAAGGTTGATTTCAGACATGTACAGCTTTGCTGGGTGTCTCAAAGCACATTCTGTCTTTTATTTCTACTGTTAGCAGTCTTCTCTTTACCGAAGAGTAAGAAAATTTAGATATATTGCTAATAGCAGCCAGAATGATTACTGGTTGACCAGGAGTCTGAACTTTTCAAGAGTCATCTGGCCTCGATAGTGATCAGAACCAAAGAAAGTGGAAATAGAAACTCTTTGGAAAGAAAGATATAATCAAATTAACTCACACTTGCGACCCAAGATCATTTTTATCAAAATAATCCCTCAACTTTCCTGACTTAAAACAAATGTTTAAGTAGACGGGAACAAAAGGGCTTGATTACAGATGCAAACCAAAGTAGGAAGGCACTCTCACGTTATCTTTGAGGTATTTGAAGACTGTAACTGTACTTAAATCATTTCTGGCTGTCCTAAAGAAGCCCTATAATTTTAACAGTTTATGTTTTGGAGATGAACATATTTTCCTAAACTTCACCGCAGATGATTGTTGCGTTTGGAAGGTGCAAGAATAACATTTGTTTCCTGGAACAAAAGGTGGATGTGGTAAAACTGTGAGTGTTATAGAGGCCAACAAAGTAGTGCATAGATGTGAATTGAAACTACAAGGATGAATTGGTTTTTAGCATCTCAATCTATGTTTCTATTCAACCGTTCCAGGTCTATAATTTGTCATGCCACCTTTCACTGCATATGCAACTGCAATTCTTTAGCTGTACTTCTTCAGTAAATCTTCACATCTAGCCTTAAATCTTTACTAAAAAATGTTTGCAAAAATAGCTCAGTCTCAGTCAAATTGGATTTAGGGGTAACCGCTTTCCAGCCTTGCCACAGATTTCCAATTGGATTTAGATCTAGATGTCGATGGCGGCCATCCTAGTTTATGAATCTTCTTTAAGCCTAATCATTCAGTCAGTTTTGGCTGTATGTTTCGGGTTGTGGTTCTGCTTTAAAATAACCTCTACCGCCGGTTTCACAAAGGGGATGTTGTGTTTCGGTTTTCTGCCACACGCAGCATTTGCTTGTCAGCCAAAGATCTGATTTGGTCTTACTCAAACATATTATTGCTGTTGCAGGACCTTTTTTTTTTGGCTTTCTTTCAACAGTATTCTTGCGTACAAGTGATGCGCTACTGACTAGTGCCATCAGGTTATCACACATGAACGGTGACTCATACCAGATCTCCTAGCACGGTATCTGCAGGTTTTAGCAAATCAAATTTAAGACTTTTAAATTTGAATGAAATTTAAGACAGAAGAAACTATCAATACAATACTGGGGAATTCTGCTGTATTACAATCAAGAATAGCAAAAACTGACACGTCCAGAGTCTGTTTGTTACTCTCGTCAACTTTGTATTTCTCACATTGCATCTCTTTTCAGTCTTAAACCTTGTAGTGTCAAGCTAATTTTTTGTGCAGAATGCCTACACCTACCATAGTATGAGTTGGCAACAGAAAGGCTGCCAATTTTTCCTGATTGTTTCTCTACAAGTACTCTCTAGCAAATTTGGTGATGCTACAACTACTTTAGCCATGCTAATGTAATGGAAGCTGCACAACAGAGTCAAACACAACAGGAAATATTACAACCTCGAGACACATCAGTGATGTAAGTTTAGCTTTCATTACACCGAGCAGGAGCTTAAAAAAATACCGCAGCTAAATAATAGCTGGAATGTGAAGGCAATATTGTGCTTGAGCAATAATCAAAAACTCATGGAGATTCATTCTACAGAGAAGCTCCTGTATTCAACATTGGGTATCGAAGCATGAGGTTCAAATTAAATCCAGAAAGACGGAGATAAAGGGACAGGAGCTCGTTTGTGTGTTGATTTCTTTTAACTACCAGCTGCTGCTGGTCTTTTATAGGGGCTGGATTATAAAATTGCATTGCCTTACACTGTTGGGAAAGGAAGTTCTGACAGTAAGTGTGTGTGTGTGTGTGTGGTGTTGACCAGTGCATTCCTGAATACCTATGTGACTTGGTGTATGTGTGTGTGCATGCTCATTTAAATAGACACAGAAGAGCAGACAGCCTGTCTGCAGCCCCCCAGATTAGATCAGATGGCTTAAATCTCCAGTGCTGTGCCTGCGACTCATGCATTTCCCTGCCTATGTCTGTGTAAAGTTAAAAAGAATAATAAGAAAGAAAATACATAACCAATGACTGACAATGTGACACTACTATAAAAATATAACTTGAGAAGCTTCTGTTAAAACAGAGACATAGAGAGTGTGGTCCATGTTAAGGAGAATAAACTACTATTTCCAGAAAGACCACAGTTCAAAATGATGAATTTCACACAGCTTTCCGGCAACTACAGAAACATTCAACCATTTTCTTTTCACCACAGCTCTGTTTCTGTTTTCACTTCGAGTTTGGAGTTCTGAAGGACCCATTCAGATGCAAACTAGGCCTATAAAACTCAACCTGGGAGTCAAGTGTCTCCAGGCTCATGGCATTTAGAGGAATGCTGGTTAAAAATATTAAATTTAGAGCAGGAGTCAGAGAGCTAAAGAACAGGAAAAGAGCAGAATGACGCACTGTTTCTACAACTCGTTTTCAAGTGTTACCTTTGACTTACAGTTCCAAAATTATCTTTCAGTTCATTGTGTTTAAAAAGTTTGATGAGGCAACTAGTTATAACAGTTAGCCAGCAAATCTACCCAATAAGAGTCTATGTGATGAACTGTGAACTCCACAAAAAGGTCCAAGTTAGCAAATAGAACATAAATATGGACATTATTAGAAATTGAATAAACAATATAAATGGGTTATTTTAGTAATGACAAGAATTATTGCAATTTTTTTTGTGTGTGTGTTTTTGTTTTAAATTAAAGCAATTAGACTAATTAGCAATTACTCAAATTGACCAACAATAAACAGCCAGTGTTTATGCCAGTGCATTATAAGCCTGGTAGGCCACCAGGCATAACTTGACTCCAAATTTTTGTAACTTTTAAGACTTTTCAACATAAATGCAGAATGGCCCATGGTGGACTGTACAAATGCCCCATCACTGAAATTAGTTGGTTTTCCAGGGTTAATCCTGAGTAAACCATTCAATTTACATAACTCTAAATAGGAACACAAACACACTTATAATACTCAAGTGTATTCATTTCTTATACACAGAACTGTTGTGTAAACTTGATTATCACTCTTGAGTTGCTTAATCTGGCCAAATCTAAGTAGTAGGTCCCCTCCAAAATAATACATATAGCCCACCCTCGAGTTTCTGACTGGTTCATGTTGACAAAACCACAAAATGGAGTGACTAAGTAGGCATCTTTAGCCTAGCTGCCTTTTTTTCCCAGCAGATTCCCACAAAGGAAGAGCCTTTCTCCTCTGAGGCAACCCAGATTTCCGACAGTCCCACTTGGTCTCACAGAATACTGTCAGTGACCCCGTAGAAAACAACAATTTCCAAACCGAGCTAGAAAAAAAAGAGAGCAAAAAACGCGTCAGTGCAGACAAGGTTTAGAGCGATAAACTTAAAAAATATTGGTGCAGTGATAAAAAAGAAAAACCGTGCAGCTCTAATTTTCAAAATGTGTTGGGAGAAAAAAAAAAGTTCCCCTGCTCATCCAAAACACCCAAAGCTGAATGTCAATGTGACCAAATCCAAAAAAACTTACACAGTTTAGAAACCGAACACATCATTTTGAAAGAGCATCTGATTGCCAAGAATACCGCATACTCTTCCATCATCCACTCATACTCAGATTTATGAGGGTTGAAATTTCCAAACAACTTAAATATTCATGAGCCAAAAGATCTAACAAAAAACAAATGTGTGGAAGTGAGAGGTCCAGAAGAACTCAAATGTAGAAGAAACTTGAGAGAACCAGATGACATAGAAGTTACAGACAGCTCCTTTAGTAG